AAACCGTTACAGGTTTTAGTTTTCCGTGTTATTTGGATGAGCTACTTACCGGACGAGCGAATTTAATCATCAGCTGGACACTACTCCCCCCCCCCTTCTCTTGACGATAATTTCAACCATAACCCCAATATGTATCGTTAGGTGAATTACGTTCATAAACGTGGGCTCCGCGAGTCAGCGATGATACAAGTGATGAAAAGCTTATATAACACAAACTTGATCCGGAAGCTTTCCATCATCTTCGTGAACAGATTGACACCGGGTGTTCCGCGTGCACATTACGCGAGCAGAAGAGGAGATTAAGTACTTAAGCCTGTTTCATTATTCACAAGTTTTAAGTATTCTATAAATGAGCCTGTCTCGTACTTTATTTTTTTGAATATTTTTTTTTGCAATGGATTAAAAAAAAAGCTGACTTTGAGCAGCAGAGTTTATTCAAAACTAGAAGCCACGTTCTTTTCTCTCTTGCGCGCGCTCGTTTTTTATTTTATTTATTTTTTGTCACAGAGGCTGTTATTACTAAAGTACCGATGTTTGAAAGTTTTTACCAGAACCCTAGAAGATTACTGAAGCAACGAAACACAGGTTTTCTTGAGAAATCTCTGCCAAGGAAAAATATAAGAAAAATAAAAGGCGGAATGCTGACGGTGTGAAAAAAAAACGGAAAAAATCCAACTAGAATGGAAAGAGGAAAACATTTCTAGTGAACCGGAGTAGCAATAAGGTGAGAAGGTATAGGCATACATTACTAGACCAGGAGTCGGCATCCTCCTTCAAGGCTCTTTATTCTAGAGAACCAAGCTCCATGGCGACTCAGAGGAAGACTTTTGAATACAGCCGATCGTTAAAGACAAATCACACTAAACACGGTTGTGTATAGTGCAACGTAAAGACAATTTAAAGTGATTATTGTACTTATTCCGGGAACTGAAACAGCAGTAAGAGCAGGGGTGGTGGTGGTAAAAAGATCAGAAAAGTTAGATGATACAAGTTGACCAGTAAGTAGTACATAACAGTGTACCTGTAATATTAGTATGTTCCCTTCTTATTGGAAGCCGTTGTCGCTGCATGTTAAAAATGGGGTATTAAAAAGCAATGACGGTTTTAACGACGTTTCATACACAGGACTGTACTAGCTGCCTTTACTTTGTTTTCTACTCTGTCCGTCCGTCCGTTAGTTCATCTACTCGTGTGTGTTACAGAAGTGTTAGGTGTCATTAAATGTGAAGTGTTTTTGGATAGAGTTCATGTACAGTGTAGACGATTCGATCCCTGGATTGGAAGCTTTTACACATTGATATTACACATTGCTGGATTCATAAGGGGTTCGAACCCCCCTAAAAATATAATATCGTTAAAACTTAAAGAAATAATAATAACTAGAAAAATATCTTGAGTATTTTCAGTTAATTCTGTTTGTTTGTTTGTTTCCAGTTAAACAGAAAGCCACACAAAAGTCTATCTGTGCTCTGCCCACCACGGGTATCGAAACCCGGTTTCTAGCGTTGTAAGACCACAGACATACCGCTGTGCCACTGGGGGGTTAAAATGAAAATAAACGAAAAGAAAAAGTTTGTTTGAAGTTAAGCACAAAGCTACACAATGGGCTGTCTGTGATCTGCCCACTACGGGTATCGAAACCCGGTTTCTAGTGTAGTAAGTCCGCAGACATACCGCTGTGCCACTGGGGGAAGGGCACAATTTACTGAATGTGATAACTTTTAAATAGTATTTGCCCAAGGCAAAACCACGTGTAAACGCTAAGTGCCTACGTGCGCGCCCTGGTGACATAATATTTTATTCTGAATCTCAAGCCTTCACTTTAAAGTTTTCTAAAAATAATTAAGGCCTAGTTTCACAATCCCGAACATGCCGCTGGTACTAACACAAACACATCATTTTTTTTGCACTATGTGGTCCTGTTCTCTTGGGCAATAATGTAGTTTTTTTTAAGTAGTTATAAAGAATATCGAACCCTGTATCTGTGCAAAATGTACAGGGTGTCCGAAAAGTTTGGAATCATAGGTGATTTGCAGCTTTTCTTAATTTCAGATACGTGACTGATTATGGTGGAGTTTATCCCTCTGGGTAGCAGAAAAGGCTGAACCCAGCTGAAGATTGCTGCCAAGTTCAACATACGTGGGCACAGAGAGAAGATCAAGGACATCGAACATCTGAAATAACGAATTCGTGACGAGTGTCGGACCGTTGACACGAATATGCTTCACAGTGTTCAAATAGAATGGAAATACCGTCTCCAAACTTGTTTCGAATTACAAGGACAGCATGTGAAATAGATTCAATAAAATTTGTTGAAGTTTGGTTCCAGAATTTTCCGATATCCTGTACCGTTTTACTTCGTAGCTTACGGTGAATAGTTCCTAACTTCCTTTTTTAAAAAAATTAAGATCTTTAACAGACCTCAAATAAATAAATACGAAACATGCTACATACTAAAAATAAAACCCCGGGGGCTTAAATATGTTTTACTTTATAGAACAGTTTCTCATAAAGCACAGAAATCTCTGTGTCTGTCTGTCTGTCCGTTATCTAACTACTCCTAGGTCGCTGGGCCAATCTCAACCAAACTTTGTGGGATGACAGTTTGGAACAAGTGGCATGTTAATAGAGGTTCACAAACCCTCTGCACCCCTCATTACTGCTGTTATTGAGCATTTATAATATTTGACGTAAGTTAAGGTTAACTATGTTAATAAATTTTCTATAACACAACATACAGACAGTGGGGGAGGGCACATAAATGCCTTATACATTTCAGAGAATGTGCTAGTACCTTCTATGGAAGAAGGCAATGAAAAAAAAAATGGCCGCCACTATTGCAATAATACATAAACTCAGCTGAAGTTTCTACTCCTACAGCCACCATAATAATGATATGAAGAGCAGTTTTT